GACTCACTGTGGTGAGTGCAGTTGTGAGAGCAGCCTTTGATTATGGCTATTTGTATGCTACAACCAGTTAATCCAAGTGCTGCATACAGGCTGTGGAAGATGGATATTAGAAACTTCCATGAAACATGAAATACCAGCTTACATGTTTTGAACCTAAGTGGAATCTTGGTTTCTTTGGGAAATGCATTAGATGTCATAGAATTGCTTGGCTTGGAGGGGACCTTAAAATACTGTAGTTCCAGTCCCCTACAATGGACAGGGTTGTCACCATGTAGATCAAATGGCTCAAAGCTCTGTTCAGTCTGACCCTGAATATCTCCAGGGATGGGACATCAGCAACCTCTCTGAGCAGCCTGTTCAAGTGCCTCACCACCCTCTGAGTGAGGAATTTCCTCCTAACATCTAACCTAACCCTCCCCTCTTTTAGTGTAAAACCATTCCCTCTTATCCAGTCGCTATCAGACTGTGTAAAAAGTCAATCTCCATCTTTTTTTATAAACTCCCTTTAAATTTGGAAGTTTATATGGGAAGATGTACTTGATTCATGTTGTCTGTAGCACAGTATAATAGCACTGGTGTTTGTATTGTTAAATTGAAAGGCATTTACTGTCTTAAAAATAGATTTAAAAAAACCTTACTAAAACAAAGGTCAGTGAGTTGTTACTCAGTTTGGAAACAAATTGTTCTCTTGATTAAATAATTTGGCCTTTTTAAAATAACCAGACTTTTACAATAAGAAAATAAAAATCTGATGCAAGCCTTGTATGTTTTCTTTTTCACCATAATGCTAATAAATATACAGGCAGTTAATCTGATGTAAAGGGCTGCTAGATCTTGTTTCTTTGACAATGACGAACTGCCTCATTTTCATCTTATGTCCTGTATTTATGTATCAACTTCAGTTTATCAGAAGATTTAAATTGTGGAATAGGTTTTTACTGGTAGTTATGCTTGTGGATAATTTTCTACAGACTTGACCTTTTATTTTTTCCTGGGAGGAAAAAAAAAAATCACCACCTCCCCCTCCCCCCAACATTTTAATTCTAAATTGTGAAGTTTTGGACTATACTGCAGTATCTGGAGGAGTGTCTTTCCTTGGCAGAAAGTATAGTAGCTCAATTTTCTGAAATAGTTCTCAAAGTGAAGGGTTTATAGAATGCATGTTCTTTAAAACACGCACATTGCTTCTGTGTATCTTTGACCTTTTACCTTTATCTTTCCTTCCTACTCATAAGGTCACTGTTCTAAAGAACTTTTAACTACTTTTGTTTGTAACAGACACTGTTCATCTCTAATTATGTGATTTTAGTGTATTGCAAAACAAAAATCAATAAGTAATGTTTGTTGCTTAAAAGACAAGATCTTGCAAAGCAGGAAGTTGATGAATATGATCAAAAAGCATAGTCCCTTTACTCCAGTTCTCAGGCGAGAAGGGTTATCTCAGTGACTGAACTGGAAATGTGTAATGCTTAAGTTGTCAGATTTTTTTGCATACTTTGGTTTCAAAAAAATTTTTACATTCATATCTAATGCAGCTGTTGAATAAATACCTATATACAGTCCAAACACTTAGAGAAAACATCTTCATTGCAGTGTAAGAGAAATATTTTTGATTGGAGCTGTTTTCTTTTCTTGGCCAAGTTGCACAGACATGTTGTATGTTCATATCTTTGTCCCAGTGTTGTTCAGAATGTAAAAATGTGTGAAACTGTCACTACACTGCATGCAGTTGGCTCAGGCTTCTGAGGTTATCACAGGTCTGTTGCCTGTGATATAGTTAGCATTCTGCATCCATTTTTCCTTTGACTGGTGTATATCTTTGGACATTTTCTACTTAACAGTCATACAGTATAACTTTATTCAAGAAAAGAAACTACAGAGTGAATTTAACTGGAAGTGAATGCTGTGAAGATAGATATTAAGAGTTGTTTTTCTGTTAGGTCAGTGCCACTGTCTTCTAACTACAGCTAGAAGTGTAGAATCAACCATGCAAAAGAGAGAGGGGTAAAAAAGCTCATATTTAAGATTTAAAATATCCTTCTTATATGTATTTGTTCTCTAAATAGCCAAATTTTCAACAGGCAATGGCCAATGAATTTTTCATGTTGTAGGAATCAGGTTATGAACTACATACTGGTTAAGATGTTCAGAATCAAACAACATCAGAAGTGAAAAGAGCACACTCCATAGTTGTATCTTATAAAGAATTTGAGAGGGGAAAAGATGCGTGTTTCCATAATATTGCTTTAATTCTTCATCTTCTGATACATTACTGTCTGTGTAATTTTATTTATTGCTTGAAGCTTACTGTGTAAAAGACAACAAAATTGTTACCTAGAGGTAGAACTTCTGCAGCTAACTTGCTGTGCATAGAACAGTAAAGCCCTGATGACATATTACTTGCATATCATTTTGAAAATCAGGAATTTATGCCTATGACTATCATTCATCACAACTGATGAGCAGCTGAATCTGTCATGCTCCTGCTCCCTTTAAATTACTTTGGCCTAATGCTCAAGTGATTATTGTAGTGAGTGGACACCTTTAATGAAGAGTAAAATAGGGAATAAAAGCAATTTTTTTAAGGTAGTTTGGGGGGTACTTAGCTTCACAAAAAGTTTCTGGAGTACCTCTATCAGAAGAGGAATTTTCAAGCAAGTCTGGATATTTTGTCCTATACACAACAAATTACTCTGATTTAACATTTAGTGAAGTAGTTGTGCATTTTAAAAACTGTTAATTTTAAAAATTCCTGTCTTGCTGTGTACGTTGAAGGAGATATTGTGTACCATGATGTATTTCTTGCAGTACATGTACTAATGTTTAGCTGCAGTGTCTTGCAAATGTGAAACTTGCTGATGTAGCTACAGTTTTTAAAAGATCATTGACCAGTCAATCAGACTCTGACCATTTCAGAGATAAAAAGGTAGGCTTTTATTGGCTCTACAGATAAAGAACCTTTTCACAAATTAAGAAATAGTGTAATAATTAACAGATATAATGGATATGTGTATTCAGTTTTTTGTTATCTTTACAAGCTTTAGCTCCTGTTATCTTCATAGTTAACCCCTTTCTATCCACAGATTTCACACAGAATCATACACAATGTCCTGGGTTGAAAGGGATCTCAAAGATCATGAATCTCCAACCCTCTGCCACATTCAGGGCCACCAACCTCCACATTTAATACCAGACCAGGCTGCCCAGGGCCCCATCCAGCCTGGCCTTGAACACCTCCAGGGACGGGGCATCCACAGCCTCTCTGGGCAGCTGTTCCAGCACCTCACCACTCTCTCCGTAAAGAATTTCTTCCTGACATCCAACCTAAATCTCCCCTCCCTCAACTTCAAACCATTTCCCCTTGTCCTGCTGTTATCAATCCTTTCAAAGAGTTGATTCCCCTCCTGTTTGTAGGCTCCCTTTAGGTACTGAAAGGCTGCAGTGAGGTCACCCCGCAGCCTTCTTTCCTCCAGGCAGTACAAGCCCAGCTCCCTCAGCCTGTCGGATCACTTAAATACACAATTTAAAAAACAAACATTTAATTTGTGATAGTAGTGTCTGTAATATTATTAGACTGTCCATTTTCTGCATTTTTTTTTAAGATTAATAGTAATTCTTCTTTCTCTCTAGAGCAAGGCAGAGAACTTTGGTAGCAAAATTCATTAAATAAATACTAATGTTGTTCTAAAGATGGCATAATAATGATTCTTTAAACAATTTTACCTATGGGGAATTTGCCCAAACTATTTAAAAGTATTTTTCATTTCAAGACAGAGGTGATTATAATCATTTTATAATCACTGTCTATTATTGACACTGTGGCTGGTGATTTTGATCTAGCAAATCACTCAAATTGCCAAACAAGGTCATTTGCTAGTGGGCTCATTAGGTGAGCTGGGAAATGCCTAGAATTATAGAGTGGCTTGGATTGGAAGGCACCCTAAAGATCATCTACCTCAAACCCTCTGCTGTGGGCAAGGTGGAGACCAACCATTTCTAAGCTCTGAAGACAAATCAAATTTGAAGGTATTGAAAATATCAATGAAGCAGAAATTTGCTAAGTAGTAGCAAGATTCAATTGTTTTGATGTAATATCCTACAGAAATCTATGAAGTGGAAAAAAAAAAAAAAGTTTGGAGAAATTTTGGAATTGGGAAATTGAAGAAAGCTTAACTCTGCACACAACATATCTGTAAAGGTGGCAGGGAAAAAAAAGTACAAGTGTGGGACAAGAGGCTGGAGAGCTGTTTTGCAGAAAGGAATCTGGGCGTTCTGGTAACAGCAACTTGAACACGAGCCAGTTGTGTGCCTTGGGAGCCCAAAGGGTTTGTCAGGCCCAGCACTGCCACTGGGTGAGGGCAGGGATTGTCCTGCTGTGCTGTGGGGCCTCACCATGAGTATTGGGTGCGGGTTTGGTGCCACGTTATAAAAGGTACATAAAACTATTGTAGCCCTTATTTCAATGCTCTCTTAAGATGGTGAAGGAAAGACATACGGGGGAGTGGCTGATGTCCTTTGGTTTGTTCAGTCTAGAGAAAGGGAGTCTGAAAGGTAGCTTCATAGTAGTAACTACGTTTTTATAAAGACAATTATACCAAGAATACCCACTTTATATCTAATTCAGTCACTGAAAGCTCTTGCAACTCCAGCCCTATAAACTAGCCTCTACATGTCTTATTATCTCTCCTCAGCAGCCAAATTGCCCTTCCAGTGTCCCCAGAACTCATAAAAGACTGATATTGGTGGGCTCATTGACAGTGCAATTGAATCCTATTTTTTATTTCCTTATTAAGAGCTCTTCTGAGCATTCTGCTGGCCTACTCTGAGAGTATAGAAAATAGTTAAGTAAATTATTTTTACTGGAACACATAGTTTGCTGAAGGTTTGATGTACAAATGGTTGAGGTTTTCTAGTGGAATTGAGAAAAGCCTCTGATATCTCTTGCAGGTCAAAAGGACAAGCAATGGACTGCAGGACTGGAGCACCTGTGGCAGGTTTGTATTCAGCCCTTGTAAAAGTTACTTGAAAAGAAGGAACTGTTCCTCACAAAGCCCGTTGATATTATTTTGCTAATCTCTGCTAAATGCTTCAGAAATAGCACAGATGGTGTCAGAACTTAAGTTCTTTTGTGTTATAGCACATGTAGAAGAGATCTTTGTAATTTGTTTCAACATCTCATGTATCTCTTCCTTCTTACTAGACCTAACATTACATTATAGGGTACTTGCTTTAAAAGGATACCCATCTGTAGTGACTGTACTGACATAACTTAAATAAAAAAAAAAAAAGCTGGTAGTAGACAAAGTTTGAAATGGAGGAAAGAATTTAGTCTTTCCAGTCAGATTACAGTTCTGAAGTTCGCATAAAATAGGAGTAACAAGTTCTGTTGGTTGTGGTGGATCTTTTCTTGAAATTATTTTGTGTTGTGCACTGGAGGTCTTTTTTTCCTACCTATCTCTTAACTTGTTTAAGGATTCAGCCTCACTGTCATAAATTCGTAGAATAGCTGGGGTTGGAAAAGATTTTCAAGATCATGAAGTCCAACTGCACCCTAGCCATACTATGTTGACTCTCCACTGCTATTGTCCCTGAATAATTCATCTGCCTTTCTTTCCTTTCTTACTGATCCATTATTATTTTCTATGTTGAACTGGTGATTCTTCTTGCTTATTAGTGTTTTATCATTCCATAGTTATGTAATATACAGCTTCCACACATACGATAATTGTCCTTCAAAAGTTGCATTCCTTCAAGCAGTAATTTAAATGCATAAATATAGAAATGTGCTCCAGGTTAAGTATGATTTATTTTGCAGGCGAGCTTAAGTGACTGTAGTGTCATTTGCTGTGTTTTGTAACTTTTCTTTATGTGCTGTGTTCTGACTGATCTCGGTGGCTGTATGCTGTTTCCTCAGTTGCATCTGTAAGACACCTGGGTTTAGACTGCCGGGATGTTTGTAGTTTTTCTTGTTGCTATGAGCATTTGAATGTGCAGGTTTATCGACCCCTAGTGGATTGTTAAGGAAACGGCAGTTAAGGGCGAACTGAAAAGTGCTACTGTGAGTACTGCTCCGAAAGTAATGCCTCCCATTTTTTCTCAGCTCTTGATGTCAGAAGAGGATTTTGGTGATACGGCAGTAGAGGTTGAGCCTTCCCACCAACACTGCAGTATGTTTTGTTGCTGTGTAACAGATGGCAGCAGAAGGGCAGTCTGACGGAATGGCGCCTGACACGGATGAAACAAAGGTGTGGAATTGAATTCTGCCATGCAGATACAATGACACCCACTGGCATTCATTGATGCTTGCTGGACATTTATGGAGCCTAAAGAGTGGGTGTGAGCACAGTGAGGTGGTGGATGCTACATTTCAGCAGTGATCAGTCCGTTATCTCCACTGGTGCAGATATTTGTGAGCACGGTGTGCAGCCTGTCATTGGTTGCTGGTGAAAATGCACAACGAATGGTGGTGACTATGTTGAAAAATAATGCTTTAAAGCTGAGAATGGTGTTATGAGGCATTACTTCCAGAGCAACCTGTATTTTTGATTGCTGTGTCTGTTTTAATGCTGTTTCTTCTGTTTGCAGCTGGATTAGTTCCTGAATTTCTCAGCTGGTGCTCTGTTTCCTACCTTCACAGAATTCCTGCTATGACAGCTCTGATTAACACTGCTGCTAAAACTTAAACATGCCGTTAGGTGCCTGCATTTTAATGCATACAATGCTTTTAGCTGTATCTGAGTATTTTAAAACGACTGCTTAGCAGATATCTTAAGAGAAAAAAGTATTTTTTCTTAGTGTGAGCTAAATTTTTTTTTTTAACAAGCTGGAAAAGCTAGGAACTTGGACAGCATGATAAAAAATATGAATTAACTTCTAAATCATTTGCTCAATCTACACTGACTACTTAGTTTTTATTAAATATTTATAAAGTTATTGGTAATATCCTGAGACCTGGCCTTAAAATATTAGTTGACCTAATGTTGTGGGTTTTCTGCTAAACCAGGCTTGTTAATTTATAGCTGTGTAAAATCATGCATTTCTACCAAATTCCTCTAAATTAACCAAAAGTAGCTCTATTTTTATTATTTATAATTTTAAGTTATGTTTATGATATCTGAACACAGGTCTGCTCATGTCATGAGTGAACTACTAATAAAATTTGATTCCTGAGATCTTTGTTAGGATCTATTCATTACATTCTGATCTTCACTACAAGTCTACATCTGCCATGTTTCCAAGTATAAGGATGAGAAATGAGTTAGTATTCTTTACTTACTTGTAAAGTAAGTAAACAGGAAGTAACTTCCATTTTTTTAAATCGTGCATTTAAATGTGTAGACTTTAAGTGATGTTTTCTATCAGCGGTTAAATATTCCTTCAAAATTTATATACCTTAAAATAAGGAAAAGTTTGCATATAATTTTTGGCAGCATTTAGTATTGTAGTTACTGTGTAAATCACACTGTTTAAAGTTTAAAAAAAAAAAATGTCAGAAAGACCTCAAATTCATATTTTTGTTGGAGCACCCAGTATTTCAAGCCTGCTAGATGTGTCGGAACAAAGTAGTTCAGTACCTGCTGTTGAGAAGTGGAAAGAACTCCACTGTTCCTATGATATACACAATCTTTTTAATGAAGAAGACAAAGGTACTGACCATTTAGTGTTTCAAGCAGGAAACTCTGTAGTCACAGCAGTTCCCACAAATGATTACAGCTCTCAGCAGTCTAAACAGAAGAGATTAATGGTAGAAAAGGAGTGTTTGAAATCTTTTGTACCTGTGGTAGTAACTTGTGCTACTTCATCCCAAAAGACAAGAGGTTTAATTTATTCTGATTTTCAAATATCCAAAGATGGGCACATAAGTGCACACACAGATGAGGCTGCAGATTGCCTCCCTCAGATACTTGTGAAATCAGGTAGACAGGATGAACAATCACATGGCAGTTGTTCAGACTTCACTGAAAGAAAATCCAGTCACTTAAGAATTAGGGACTCTGACATTTCTGATCTGGTTGGTAGTACAAAGCAGATCAACATACACCTAAGCTCTGTGGAACAAGGTGTTGAATCGAATCACAGAAATGATCACCATGAACATTTAAGTAGATATCTAAATATGTTTTTCCCCCAAAATCAAGAGTCAAAAGCAAAAGGAGAATTGAGTGACTGTTCAGATCTTGCAGTGTCGACTGATACTGAATTTCGTAGCATAATGACTTCAAGTCAGGTAGCTGCTTTTGCACAGGATCACTTTAAGAGCCAGAATGAGATGCGGAAAAGAACCGTAGAACTATTGAAGATAGAAGGACAGAGTAAGCATGAAGAAAGGCAATGTGATGACTACCAATTGGAATCTGGTGCTGGAAGATGTCTCTGTTTGGCTGAAAATGAGTGTAAGCAGGAGTATACAAGTTCCCCTGAACTTTTCAGTTCTGATGGTGATGAGAAAAACATTGGCTTTGAAGACACAAGAAGAGAAAAAAGCTCTAATGAAAATGCAGGGGAGTCTCATGAATGTAAAGTTCCTGCTGGGCAATTCATAAATGAAATCCATATTGAACCATTGAGCTCGGGGATACTGTGCTCTCAAGTAGAAAGCTCTCGTAAGAACTCTTATAAAAGAGCCCACAAGTCTGAAGATCTTTTTCATATTTTTAACACAACATTTAAAAGGCAGCTTAAATCAAAGAGAGCTAAATTGAATTCTTCCCCATCCGGTCCTGGAATGGCGGTGGGTCAAGAGTGGATGGAGTTCAAGCCTCAAGGGAAATTAGTATCACCACTTAAGGACTGCTGCTGCAAAAATCAGAAGTACAATGTTTTGGTCACCGTAGTACACCCGTGTCTTATCAAAGAAATACAGATGAAGACCAGACCCAAATCTTCATGTAAAGTTCCTGTAGCAACAATTGTAGTTATTGATCAGTCAGGAACTAAGAGAAAGGTGGTGCTGTGGCGTGGTGCTGCGTTTTGGTCGCTCACTGTGTTTCCTGGAGATGTCGTATTACTTACAGGTGAGAAGTGGTTTTGGTTTGTTTTTAAATATGGATCTTAAATGCCCATTGGAAGTAGACCAGTGTGTAACTTGGAATTATGCCTAACCATCTGTCAGTTTTTCTAACATCACTTGTATCACTCATATCGCTCATTGTCAGTTTGAATTATTGTGGTCATCCTGACAGTTTAACCTGTCCATGTTTTAAGGCAAAAGTGCTGTTACAGACCAGACGTTAGTTATTTCTTCTTTTGAACTTCTCTGCAGCATATGAAGACATGTACTGATGAATGCTTTGTACTTGTTAATACATATTAGGAGCTCCCTTTGTTAAGAGAATGCAATAAAATAGAAAACTACATTGCATCTAATCTAGGTCTGGGGTTGATAAGAACTTTATAGCTATCTAAATGTTCAGTTTTTGCAAAAAAAAAAAAAGTAAAAAAAAAAAAGTATAGGATTACTTTTCTTTGAATAGCTCAATGATACCTTAAAGATGCCTACATCTCTTTGTTAACAAGAGTTCTTAAAGTAAGCACTTACATTGCACTGGTAGTTATCTTAAAGCAATTGAAGATAAGGTGAGCTTTGTTCTCTGCTTAGACTTGCTTACTCCCAAATACATCAAAAGTGTTTCTAGGTAACCTCAGTACTATATTACTTGCCAGAAATGTTGCACTGTAATAGCTTAGCAATTTTGCTTATACAACGCTTGCAGTTGGGCTATTAAATATTTTATATGAAGGATAAAGCCAAGCAAATGAACAAATTGATTAAGTCTTCTGAAGGGATGTTGGTAGATTAGAAAAATCACTGTGCTTCAAAGTGATATCTCTGAAATTCTTACTTCATATGATCACTCCTGTGGGTGGTGTTACAGCTTTGGCACCTTCCTGCCATCTTGCAGCCAATTAAATTTAGCAGTTTGAATGACTAAATTTGTGTATGTGCTTTTCCCACGTTTTTGTGCAAGTCCCTTGCATATATCAATGTCAGCCATAGGTGTGTTGCACACTAAGATGCAGTGTGTCTTTGGTAGTGAAGAAGGCATAAGGCAGAGAGAGAGAGAGGGCAGGCAAACAAGTTGAGAATGAAGAAGACATAGCAGATGATGAGAGACTGAAAATAGCAAGCTAAAGAGGGGAGAGTCAAAAGTAAAGTTCTGATGTGGAGCCAAAGTCAAGATTCTGGGTTCTGTAGCTGAGAAAATAAGTATGGTACTTCAATACAGTTTGCACATGAATTAATAAGGTTGTTTTTTTCTTGCAGATATCATGATGTATGAGAATCACTGGTATGGAGAAATAATGCTGCAGTCTACATTTACCAGTCAGTTACTGAATCTGGGGAACTACTCAGTTCTTAATCCAGAAGAATGTAAGATAATAATGCATAAGTTTCCTTGTGTTAAAATACTAGTTTGAAGTAATGCGTTTATTGGCAATGCCTCATATGTAGATAAAAGTAGAAATGCAGGCAGCTGGACGGTACAGAACAGTGTAGGTAAGTTCACCACGACCTCGTAAGGCTTAAGAAAATGAGAAAATCAGGGAAAATTATTTACAGCCTATTAAGCATGAGGATTTCTGGAGCGTTGGAGGAAAGCGGGAAGATAGCACAAGTGTTCCTGGGAACTTGCTTTGTTCTTAGTCTTCCTGACATTGGTTACTGTTACCTATTTAAGACAGGTTTGGGTAAATGGTCAAGAATGGCTGTTCTTAGTAAGTTAAAATACCAGGCCTCTTTCTTCTTTTTGGTGTAACTTAAAATGCTGCAACTATAGTTAATGTTGGGATGTTATCAAGAGGAGGCAGATGAAGTACAGATTAATTTTGAATCAAGTAGTGCACATCTCAAGCATTCCCTGCCTTAGAATTCTCAGAACAGATTTGGTTTTGTTAGTTTAAATATTCACAGGTGATAGATTTTAAGCTGCTAAGCTCAAAAAAAGAAGGAGAGTCCCTCTAACTTTGTTTTTTTTTTATTTAAAGTTTACCCTGTAGTGAATGGTGACGTTCTCCATGGCTTATTGGCATATGTATCATCAGAATTTCCTCACTTTGGAGACATTCCACGAAGGCAGGTTCAGAGACTGGACAGTGTTCAGTATGTTCAGCTTGACCAGCTTCAGCCAAACACTTTGGTTCACTCCATCTTAAAAATTATCAGCATTGCCATATTAACAGGTAAATTCATGCTCTGAACTTCAAATTTCGGAACTTCAGAATCGCCTTGTAAAATGGCTATTTGCATTTTACCTGTTGTTTCCTATTCCATGCTCAAATTTTTGATACAATTGACAAAACTTTTGTGAAGACCAAGGGCTAAACAGGAAGAAAATGACTGCAATCAGCTGCTGAGTGAGCTTATTGCATGCTAGCTGATCAGTAGCATGCAGATGTGTGTGAGAAGTATGCAGGCAGTGGGCATGGACACGGTGTTCCTGCTCACTGAGTGGTTGATTTGTTTTCACTAAGGAATGTATAGTAGGAATGCTGAAAAGACAGATATACTTTATCTACAGTGAAAGAATATAAGTTAGTTTTAATAGCTTTTGAAACTCAAAGGTGCATTCTTGTTGTAGACTGCTGCTTTAGAATATTGGCTTGTTGATTAAAGCATCGTGGGGGATAGTCAGGCTTCACTAATTCAAACCTTGCTTTCTATCTGACTTCCATGTGTGCCTCATGCCACCAAAGGAATATTTATAGACTGTAGATCATATGATTTCCAAAATTACACAATTTTAGTTATTATGGAATTTTATCTTTTTCCTTTATAATGGAACTGTGCTCCTTTATAGTGCTTTGTTCAGAATGTTTTTCTTTTTGTTCTTTTCCTTGTTAGTGTAGATCTTAAAGCTAAGTATTACATTTCTCATTTCTTAAATATCTGCAGTATTTTTTTATTGTCCTTACGTGTGTCTGTGCAAGTTCTCTATAATTTTCAACACCAAATTGCCAGTATGAACCTATTAAGATGTCTCACAGCAATATATTTTCTTCATGCAAACAGAACAGGAAGCGACCTCGTTAAGGTGATTTGTTCTGGAAATGTAAGTTTCCTTTGTATAGTGAGGACTCCCAAAGGACTTTTGTCACCAGTTCATGTGTTTAATGCGCTATTGCTTTTCATGGAATAACAGAACCATGGAATGGCTTGGATTAGAAGGAATCTTAATGAAATACACTTTCATAGTTCTAACTGCAGCAATGCCAACCACTGCATCAGGTTGGCCAGGGCCCCATCCGACCTTTACTTGAACATCTCCAGGAATGGGGCATCCACAGCTCCTCTGAGCAACCTGTTTTAGTGCCTTTCAAATAGTCACATTCCTTTATAATAGAGAATGCAGGTATTTTGGAATTCCCTTTACAGAAGCCTTTTTTCCATCTTAAAATTGTTAATTTGCTTCCATTGTTTTGGAATCAGGACATACATCAGCTCTTAATATAGAGCCATAGATATGCTCACAAGGCTGCATGAGCTTATTACACTTACTGCAGCAGAAATAAGTGATGCCTTTCAGAGTTCTTGCCAGGAGAAAATATCAGTTTTGTCTCAATTTCACACAGTTGGAATCAGTTTGAGGGGCTAAATGAACAAAAACTGAATCAGGGTTGTCTCATGCAGTGTACTTTTATGCAGTGTTTTGCCATGTTTTTTCTAGCTGCTGGAAAAGGAATTCCCCTTTTTTCCATGCTTATCTGCTCTGATTGACTTCTTTGTTTTACTGTACAACAGTCCTAGATATAATAATCTTCATCTTAATTTGATCATGTTGCACTGTCATCTTGTGTTAGTGCTTGTATTGGTAGGAAGGAGAAAAATACATCAATTTTGTTAACTGAATTGTCAGAATCTCTTTTACTCATAAGTTGAGATTTTTGAATATAGGAATCTCCTATTATATTTTACATATCTCTGATTAGGACAGAAAGCATGAGTTTTTGTTCAAAGATTCAACTCATAAAAATAATTGTAAAGTGTGGAACTGAAACTTGGGCATTATCCATAGATTTTTACAGATCCTTACCTTCATTTTCAGTTTATATATACTGTCTATATTAATTTGTGCTGTACATGACTGTAATGAATTGTGAAAATTTGTGGAGCTGTTACTTGAGTATATTGCACAGAAAGTACATTAACTTCAGTTTCCAATTATGGCAGTCTGTTGCTGAGAGATTGAGTACAATTTCTTACTCATCATCCTGACTGGTGTAAGTAGAAAGATCTAAGCTTAAAGATGCTTAGATACCTGCTAGGAAGTTGTCTTGTTGCTAAGTAGTGAGGTGGATAAAGGTAAATTAATATTCTTTATGCGTTCCTTCAAACCAGATTGATCTTGCTGAAGAAACTACAGAATGTTTTCATTCTGTCCTGAAGAAATTGTAGGTGTTTTCTTGTTTACCTAGAGTTGCATTCAAAACATACTAGCATGGTTTTATTTTAATATTGAGGTGTGTTATTTTTTTGTTAATGTGCTTTGTGCTATATGACAAGTCGTAATTTCAAACTTTCCAGAATCTGTGTATAGCTACAGAGGAGGCTACCAGAGAAAAATCATTCTAACAGTAGAACAGGACAAAGATCAACAGTACAAGATGGTGCTGTGGGGAGCAGGGGCTGCCTGGTGCCCTCAACTTCAGAGGAGAAAAGGTAAAACCTTTATAGGTTACTATCATAGGATTTCTCTGATTACAGTAACAGCTTTAAAATGTTCAACTGGTCATGTTTGCTATTCAGGTCTCCTTGAAAAGGTCATATTTTGATATAGATCTTTAACAATTGTCATCTATTTGGAAGTAATGCCATCAGCAACTCATCAGCATCAGTGAGCTCATTTTACAATACCGAGAAAGTGTGAATGTTCCCAAATTTGAATCTAGTTACAAGATGCACTGTTGTCATAACTGCAAGTAAAACCAAAAGAAACCAACTAAACAAAAAAATGGTGTAAAGTAAGCTACTAGTTTTGCTCAGTCTTCCAGTTGCTGTCTCTTTTTGCTTGAATTGCTGCTTTTTCTAATTCTCATTTGTGCTGTCTGCTTCCTGCCACCAGAATTAGGTTACGTATCCCAGCAGTCCTGCTATTTAGCCCAGCCATTAACTGACAGCAGCATTTCTTGCAGAATTACACAGCCTGTGTTTTAACTGTGACATTTATTTTTCTTTTAGAAAATATGAATCTAGGCTTCTAAATTGATTACTCATTTGCATTTCTCATCAGTGGATACATTTAGGAAACAAATACTGTATTACTTCAGATGTTGAGCACACCTTACTAAAGTCAGTTGTCATATGGTACAAAATAAAACCTAGAAAGCTTAAACAACCTCAGATAAATTTTCACTACAAGAGTTTTTACATGTAGATTCTAAATTCCACCTGTTCCTCCTGAGCTTAAAACTAATTTATACTCCTAAATAATTCACATAAGTGCAGGACCTCCCACCTGAACTAGTTGGAGAACACAGTCCAATTTAAGCACTCACCAATTAACTTTATTACTTGAAATCTGCGTGTCTTTTACTTTGTGCATACTGTGCTGTGGGCAGATATATGCTTTTTATTAGACACATGTTTAGAAATTTTATGGAATTTAGTGTGCTGGAATATTACTACTTCAAATACAGAATTTCTAATGTATTTTTAATACTATGTATTGGAGCTCAAAAAAATTGATTAAATATCACAAATAATTTCTAAGACACAAAATGGTATAACTCCCTGGTGCTTCAAGTAGAAAAACAGAACAGGTGATGCAACTCTTTCTAACTTTGAGCAGTTGTATTTCTCTGTAAAACTTGTCTTATTCTCCAGCTAGATTTCTGTGTATCTAGTAGCTGATGTTTTAATGATTAAAAGATTATATCTGAAATTCAAGATAAGAGTGTTTTCACAACTGTTCAAATATGTATCATAGACCAGCCATGAACATTTGGTCCAAGTAAGACAGCCAGGAAGATAACTCCCACGATACTGAGCAAGAACACACAGCACAGCAGCTAATAGTGTGAGTGGGTTACATGAGGAAAGCGCGTGATCCCATTCCTGCTGCAGTGATAGAACAGCTGAGGATACACACTAGGTAGCCCAGCCTTCTAGAGCAAGGAATGGGGACTTGTAAATTTTAAGCTGTGTATATATTTGAACTGCACAAAGTTCTACCTCTTCTAAGCATCGAAAAACTGTTGGCAGTAAAAGTTCAGTTTTTCATCTCATGATTAAAAAAAAAAACACCCTCAGGCTTCCAGTGTACAGTCATCACATGTTCAGTTCATGTTTTCATCTTCTTTAGATGTAGGTTACTGAAAATATTAAATGCATTTTTGTTGAACCAGCATTCTTGGGGGACTGTTACTAACATGGGGTAAAATTCTGAACTCTGAAGATGGGGAAAATGCTAAGGAAGTTTTCAAGGCAAATATGAAAAGCAGTGTATTTGTAGTGTTGTAGGAATACCTTTATGGTTTAAAAAGGAATGTACAAAAATATTGCAGCAACGTTTCGTATATTGACCTGAAAGTATTTATGCAGGGATATGAGAATGTGAGGAAGCATGCCATGTATGAAGTCAGTCAATATTTTGTTTGGCTTAGTGAAAAAGGGTTGTATTATGATCCTTAAAGGGACTGAGTCAGATCTAGAGGTATTCTCTTTCCTTTGAGGGTGTTGAATAGCATTTGACCATTGTTTGATAGGCACAATTGATAGGCCAGCACAGTATGGAAAGCTGTAACTCTGGCATTGTCAGGATTGGAGCATGCCTTTATTTATTTATTTCAAACATTCTATCTGTCATGTAAGATTCTGCAGTGATTCAGGGGTGAAGTCTAAAACCATTGGAGGTGGCAGCCATGGTAGATACCTGCCCATATCCTTCCACAAACATTACCACCCATAAGCGTCCTGCTTTAGGGCATATCTCTTGATAGTATTTCTCAGTAGCTGCTTAATCTTACACAAAATCAGAAATACAGGAGACAGCAATAGGATCTTGCTAGTGGGAGCATTCCAAGAATGTTCTAAGTTCTAGCCTTAAGGAAAAGGGGAAGTTGAAGGAGCTAGAGAGTATCCTTCGTCTCCTCCATACATCAGCTTTCCAAGAGCACAAGGTAGCGTGTCACAGGTAATGTTTGTAAGGGATGGTTCCCAAAGTATGAAGGTGATGCCAATGCTGAGTTTCAAGACCAAATTAGGCTTGCAACCTGTACCTTAATTATACCATAAGACACTTTTCAGACTTGTCTGGGTCCCTTTGGATGGCTTTTCTTCCTTCTTCAGTACTCAGCTTGGTGTCATCTGAAAAATTCCTCAGGATGCACACAAATCATTGTGACTAAAAACTGTTAAATATAATTTATAGCAAATGTTTCTGGTTTTGTTTGACCTAATAGACAGCTCAGCACCATGCAGCTGTTTCCTCACTTCCCCATGCTTCCAGTAGGAGGAGGAAGAGAACTGGGGAGGAAAAAAAGAGATAGAACTCATAGGTTACTCAGTCTCATGACTTCAGTTTCCTGTAAATTAACCAAAATATAAAAATTAAACTCTTGTTTACTTGTTTTCTGTTCTGTAGGTCATCTGTGGGACTTTAAATACCTTCTGGTTCAACGCAGTTCTGTCTCAGGTGACTTTGAACTGCACTCAACTCCGTGGTCATCCTGTGAGTGTTTGTTTGATGATGACAAAAGAGCAATTGCATTTAAAGAAAGGTTTCAGAAAAGCAAAGCATCCCTTATGAAAGTGACAAATCTCTCAGTGCATTTGGAGGAAAAATGCTCAGGTAAAGTTGTTATATTTAGCACTGTAGTGTCTATGTAGTGTAGTACATAGCTAAATAAAATGTTATTGGTGTGTTTCTCCAAGTAATTATTTTTTAAACTTAACGCAGTTCTGAAAGCCTGAATTCATTCAACAGGCTACAGCTTGGTGTCCAGCCAAACTGTGAATGCAGCTTTCATTTTGTAAGCACAGAAGTAAGAAACTATTGCTGTGTGGTGCCACACCACAAATAGCTTTGGAACATACGGAGAATTACTGCCTTTTGTTGCCCACACCAACTATTGTAATGATGTGATTTGCCTCTAAAAGATTTTGTGGGATACTCTTTGATTCTCTAGAATTACAGTAAAACCGCTGCTGCTGTTGAAAGCTTATTTCTGAAGTTAGTGTTAAATGTGTAGGAGTAACAAAGTTAAATTAATTTCAAAGCGTTTATGTACAAAATCAGTGGAAGGCAAATTGTTCAAGCTCTGCTTTTTAGTGTCTCTCTGAACCATGGAGGCAAATTAGTTTCTACTTCTAGTTGTGGTTTATATCACACTTTTACCCACCCCTCTTTTGAGAGCTGAGTTTGGAATGTGTAGGTGATTTTACCAAACTACTGTCTGAATGCATCTGATGCATCAGATCATGGGCTTGTCAAGTTGTCGTAGCATTTTCCTGGATCCATAACCTGTATTTAAAACTTACCTAACGTGAGATTCAATTTGCTGGTATGCGTTGAGATCTATAGATCTTTAAGAAATAATTTTCCATTTGTCTTTTGAATGTTTCTTTTTCAATCTGTGTAATTACACTCAATCATCACCATTATATTCCTGCTTATAGAAGCTACTGAATCTTCTCCTAATGATGGTGTTTCTTTTACTTCCAAAGTAGATATTCTGTTAACCACGGAATAATGTTCTTCAGTTTGACCTATCTCATCAGAAAACTTGTGTTCCAATGTCAGCTTTCTTCTGATAGAAAATAATTTTGATTGCTTTCTGGTACTGATGGACTTTGCCAAATATTTTTGCAAATAATTGCATTTTGTTGATCTTTGTTCAAGCTTTTCTATGTTGGCATTTACTGCAGCAGTAGCTAAGAGGAAACTACATCTGTAAATTTTTGATTTAGTATTAGGCACAATAATTCTTCACTGCAGAAATTTCTTAAATATGACATTTTAAATGTGATTCTAATGAATAAAATTCATGAAGCCTTATCAGTGTTTTTTTTTTTCATCAGCTATTATATAAATATATATATATAAAAAGCTATTCCTTTTGCTTTATCTATAAAACTGATTGCAATTTCATTTGAAATTGTTGTTTCTATAGGAGTGATTCAAGTGAAAGCCCGTGTCTTACAGCTGAAGTTTACTATTTCAACTGGTCAGTACAGGCAGCTCATCTTCCATGCTGACACTTCACTGGAGTGTGTTCTGGCTTCTCTGCCTATAATTACATACTCGGGTTGTGCTAAATGTGGCTTGGAACTTCAGGCAGATGAGAACATGATCTACAAGCAGTGTTTTAGATGTTTACCATACAACAAAGTAAAAATATTCTACAGGTAAACAAGAAAAAAAAAGAATAAAATGTTCTATTAGATAAGTGAACTGCAATTTTCTTTGCTTTAAGTTCTTGCCTACATAATAAATTGTGTACTTCAGGTGTGATTAAGTCTTCTGGTTTTCTAAGCTATTATCGAAGATCAATTTATGAATTGCTGTATTAGTTTTAAAGAATTCCACCCATACGTAATTCAACTTTTTCCTTCCTTTGAATATTGTGTAACAAGGTTTTTCCGTTTCTGTTTTGATGAGTTAGGATGAAGGAGGAGTTTAAGGACCAGAGTAAAACTCCTTGCGACTCTTCTTTCAGCCCAAGTTTGGAAATGTGTGAACACACAGCCACATATTTAAACTGGTGGAAATTGTACTAACAAATGATTTCAATAGCATTCTTCAAGAGCAGGGATGTGAAGTTCTCAGTAGATGGCACTGTGACACAAGATGGATGCTTACTTTAAGAAACAAAACAGATCTAGTTGATGTAGAAACATAATTATACATCTCAAAAGCCCAAAGTAAATTCAAGTATCATAGCAAAATTATATGCTGCTTTTATCCTATGAGGGAGAATGAAGTGCAAAAAGTTCCATTTTTAACTGAAAAGATTCCCTCACCTCTTTCATAAGGTGAACGTGAATTGCATCCATTTGCCCTCTCACTGAAGAGGAGAGAAAAATCATAACAGATTTCCAGTGTTTGGATCTTCAGCGTTTGAATGCGTGTTGATGTTGAATGATTAGTCTGTAATTTGAGGTGCTGCTTCAGGGAAGAGTAGGAATTAATAAGCCTAATATAATGTTATTTTAAGAATGCAAATATTTAAGATACTAGATAGATAGTGTGGTAGGATCTTTATACTTAAGAGAATTATGTTGTCTTAAATCTGTGTTCTACTTCAGCAGGTCAATGTAGTCATTCCCTGTGTCAGTGCTATAACTCACCAACTTTTTCCACTGAACTGTTGGAGCCCAGTTTTGTTCATCTGCTGTGAACCCAATTTAGCTTTTTTTTTCTAGGTGCTGAAGATACAAGCTTAGATGTATGTATATATGCTTAAATGGTTTTCTTTTATCTGTATTATTGTATGACCGGAATGCTGAACATTTATCTTTACTGAAGTGCTGTATAGTGTGTAAGTACTTGCATAATCCTTCTGGGCTGTGATATGAATAAGAAAAGTTAGAAGAAATCCTGAAAACTAAGAGACAAGGAAGAAGAATTTCTATTGAAGAACTTATCTACTATATTTAGACCACCTTTGTCTTTGGTTTTCAAAGCTTTACACTTTATGTAGCGGTACTTGCTGGTAGCAACAGACAATTGCAGATTTATTACTTATTCTTTCATATTTTTAGTGAGTTTGTTAATATTCGGTGGAAGCACAGCATAGGTGGCAATGATCTCTTCATAAGTCGTTCTAAACTTTCAAACAGGTTTTTGGTAATATGAGTGAGGATTACTAGTATTTTTGAATAAATTGCTTCCCGAGGTCTTCCTTGGTGCTCTCTGAAATCACTGCAGTTGACAGCAGTGGCATTTACTGACATTTAGCAGCTAGAATGCAGGACGCTGTGCAAAGTATTTAAAGATCAATAAACATCAGAAGTACCTACTGACAAATACCAGAAAAGGAACTTGTTTTAATTTCCAAATGGTCATACAAGCTTAATTTGTAAGACCATCTCCTCTTTGGATCTGATATTAATAACTACTGTGCCGACACCTCCTTTGAAATACTATGCCAGCTTACGTAAATCATGGAAGTATTTTCAAGCATTTGGTTTCTTCAGTAATGGCAAAATAAGACTATATATTAGTCTGGTGTTGTTTTACTTTCATTACATTTTAAGGAAATTGAAATGTTGGTTTTTTTTCCAGTGTTTTCCTTGGTATTTAATCTTAGTGATTGGAAGTGTCAGTGGGGAGACAAAGTGCTTGCAAAGCTGCCAACAGATTCTGACAGTTTTAGTTTTTTTTCACGTAGAGTAGACTGAAAGTTCCACATCTGGTCAAGTGTAAAAAGGTAAATAAGGGCTGTTGTTGATTCTTGAAATGCTGTAACTTTAAGTACTTTAATGTGTATGACTTTGTTGTCCTTTCCAACCCTGGCCATTCTGTGATTCTGTGAATGGCATCAAGGATCATGAGTCTCCAACCCCCTGCCACATGCAGGGCCACCAACCCCCACATTTAATATGAGACCACGCTGCCCAAGGCCCCATCCAATCTGGCCTTGAACACCTCTAGGGATGGGGCATCCACAACCTCTCTGGGCAGCCTTTAACTGTAATAAAGCATGAATAGAGAAAACCTGTGGATGTGTAAATTTTCCTGCATTATATTTTGCTTATACAAGACTTCAGATAACTTAGGAGTCTTACTGGAATGAAAGACTCCTTCAAAAAAAATCTCCCTTTTTAAATAATCTCCCTTATGTTTATGTTCTCTGTTTTGTTTTGTTTTGTTTTAAAGTCATTTGGTAAAGTTCTCATCCTCTTTCAGTGAAAGAGATTACTAAAGCCTGGCTTTCTGCAGTTGTCTCATAGTAAGGCTTACTTGTAACTTTAGAAGTAATGTTAACATTGTGTAGTGATATTTGGTGTATTTCAAGCTCATGTTCTACCTGTACAGATTTGACAGATGTGTGCATAGAAATTTTCTACTTGATGTGTTGGAGGATTGTATTACATTGTATAATTTTCATTTGCAAATTTTGCAGCAGCTAATTTTCAAGAGCCTTTTGTTTTTGTACCTAGACCCGCTTTGATGACAGTGGAAGATGGAGGATGTGAGATTAATATACATGTGGTGTCTGAGCTGATGGAAAAAATCTTCCTTAATATTCCTGCAGATTGGCTGACAAGATCAGTAGGTACTGTTCCATGAATGAATTTGTAGTACAAACACTACAGGCAGCAAAGTTTTCAGTGAAAAGAAAATTTTTACTTACTGACAGTTAAGATATGTATGAGATTGTTCTTTTGGATAAGTCTGGTGAACGTTCATGTTGTATATGAGACTTAATAAACAGAGGGGAAAGAAAGCAACCCAAAGAGAACGTTTAGTTGCTATCTAAAAAATTCTGAAGTTCAGAGTTGAGTAGCAACAGTAATAGGTGAGACTATGAGTATCTGTTATACAGCATGTAACTAAATATTTTGCTACTAAATGGATTCCTTATATGAAAACAAAATCTCTGTGAAGCTTTGAAAAATAGCTGCCATACATTAGTCATGTAAATAACTATGAACAGTGTTTAATTTTAATTCCAGGGGTTGGAAGGTCCCTCTAGAGATTGAGTCCAACTCCTTGCTAGGGCAGGTTCCCTACAATATGTTGCATAGGTGGGCGTCAAAATGAGCCTTGAATATCCCCAAAGAAGGAGAGTTCACAGCCTCTCTGGGCAGTCTGTTCCAGTGCTCTGTCACCCTCATTATAAGGAAGTTCTTCTATATACTTGTTTGGAACTTCTACACTCTAGCTTTTGGCCATTACTCCATGTCCTATCACAATACACCACTGGAAGAGTTTGGCTTCTTCCAGTTGCCTCCTGCACTTTTTATAAACATTGATCAAATCTCCTCTCAGTCTTCTCTTCTCTAGGCTGAACAGGCAAGTCTCTCAGCCCCTGTGTTGTTTCCATTGGTACATCTTCATTTTGTACATGACTCATAAGTGTTATGATTCAACAGTTGAGAGAAATGTTTGGCATGTTGCTTTTTTTAAAAAAAAGATGAGAACCAAATAATATCTTACTTGGATGCTGGTTTATTCTTCTGGTAATCCAGTGTAGCTTTCATGGAGGTAAAACTTGAATGTTAGGTGGTATTGTGAAAGTTAAGTAAATTGAATTGTTCTGTCTTTTGCAGTGCCCTCCTCGGATATAACCTATGGCATGATAGTCGCAGATCTGTGTCATTCACTGCTAGCAGATATGGAAGCATCCTATTTGTTGGAAATCAGAAGCCATTTTGTGCTGGATGAAAACAGCTATCCTTTGCAAAAGGATTTCCACCTGCTAAATTTTCATCCTGATCTTTGAAGCATTATCTTTTGCAGTGACTGAATAAGAGACTGTAAGGCATGGATTGCAAACCTAAGGAGAATGAATTAGCTCAAGGAAGCAAATGGTTTAAATATAAATAATCAGAAAAGAACGGGTATGGTATATGAGCTGATTGTATGTAGTATTGCTGTAAAACTTTGCAATTGTTGTAAAATAAATGAATATATACATTTTTAATCTTAATAAACTCTTGCCGATATCTCAATTTTCTTCTCTCTGGAAAAGTTTTCTATTGTTGAGTCTGGTTGTTTTTCATATGGCAGACTGAGGAAGAGAATTGAAATGTAGTGGCTTGATTTTTGTCACAATGATGAAAAGAAAAAGATCACCAAGTTACAATTTGTTGTTTTTGTGCTTGCTCTCTGTTTGAGTCTGTCTTTTAACAGCAATATTTCTACTGTTCTGCCTCAGTGGTTTTGCTGCTATTTTCTTTTTAACATCTGTCTGAGGATCACATCTGTCTGAGGATCTGATCTTGTGTAGCTACAAGTTGTTGCAGTAATCTCAGAGGTTTTAAATAATTTTAAATGGTGCGTTCTTTTAAAGTAGTTCTTTTGAATAATTACATTTAATGTATTTAGCTGTAAGGTAGCAAAGAAATACGCATAGTCACATTGAGCCAATTTCAAAATTGGTTACAGCCAATTTAACACAACTTTCTCCCAGTTTGATCAGATTTAGAAATTAAATTGATTCTTTTTAAGGTCTTAGAAGACACTATCAAAGTACACTGTTGTTAAAAGATTAGTAAATGATGATGTTACCTGACTTTATAAAGCAACAGTCTGATAACTATTACTCTGAAAGTGATCAAATAGAAAGATAGTGATCAGTATTCTATTCTGATGTAAGTTATGCCTCCAAGTGAGACTAAGTGCCTCTTATTATGACTCTTATTGAGACAAGCTGTAAGGTATAAATCATATTTTCTATATTATATTAGATTGCATTCTTGCATACCTTTACCAGTGTTGTTCTCAGTTAGTGAATGTCTCTACATAACATTTCAGCTTTCCACAAGCCTCAAATACGTTCTCAAAAATGTAGACTTGATTAAAAAGAGAACGCCCACCCTCCCCTTAAGCCCTTGTGGTTTAATCTCTGGCTATCTTCTATTAAAAAACAATTCCCTATTATTTTATTCCATCTCTGAATGTGTGACTCTTGTCTCATAAGACTAAAACTGTGGTTTTCTGAAACTTACTCAGATGAGTTGCAATGAGTATTACCTCACCGTTCAGATTTTCACCATTTGTACCTCATCCCATCTATACTTCACGCAGCACTGCCTGATTCCAGATTGTGGGTTACTTAGTGCTGGGGGAGAACATACAGAAAGAAAGAATAATTTCAGTGTTTGTATTTGTTTAAATGAGGCGTATACATGAATAATAATCTGGTATGAATTAAGGTATTCCAGGAGTTCTTTGAATTTAATAAGACTTAGGAAAACCAGGCATCAATTATGTTAGAGAAATTCTAAAGATTGTTTAACATCCTGTTGCTGTGCAGCCTCATTAGGATGATTTCATAACTTTGGAAGTACTTCGGGCCATCTGGATTGCTGAACTACGTGCATCTAACTGCTGAGTTTCATCTATTGTGGTTGTGTTGCTGGCTAACTTGGTCCTCATTCTCTTCTCATGATCCTTTCAGGTCACTCTCTGACTCTTTTAATAGTGTTCCTTTGTGAAATCTGATCTATGTAATGTAACAGTTTAGTTCAATGTCAGTTTAATTTATTGTGGTGCTGTAGCTTTGCTTCTGATCTTTGCTTTTATAATTCTTTCTTGGAAATTTTAAGTCCCACTGTCTTATGTTTTTCACTTTAGACTTCTTTGCGTGCATTCCAGATGGGAAGTCATTGCACTATCTTTCTGTGCTACTGTCTGGCATGGAGTTCTACTTCCCAGGAGCCATCTGATCCATGATCATCTGTAACTCTGTGTTCCTTTTCTCTTATATCAAGGTGCTGTTTTTAGAGCATTTTGTTAGGAGCAGGTAGTCACCAAATAAATGCATCTGGCCTCTCAGTTCTTCACTTAGAGGAAGGAGGGACTAATAGAGGTGACTAATCATCGAACTTAGAAGACTAGTGTAAGAATAATTGTGACTAGCACAGAAGTCACGGTAGTGTATGATGTACAGATGTTCTGGTTGAGTAGTGGCGGGGTTTCTTCTCTACAAAAATACCCTATAGAACAAGAGTGTATCCTTCATTTCTGCTGTAAAACAGGTAAATTGCTGCTCACTGCCACTGAAAGAGATTGCTTTTCTATGAGTACATGATAGCATTATTGTAGAGCTTTGGAAATACTGAAGTTTTTCAGTAGTAATGGAAGTATTGAGAGAAGAGTCATATTTTGTATAGTCTTACGTCTCTTTGCTGCATGTTTTGTGGGTGAGGGATTTCTGTGCTTTGCATCTTAGTGTGACAACAGCACTGTGTCGTAGTACCTTATTTAATCATATCTTTTTCATTACTGGAGTAACTGCCGTGCAGGAAGAGTCAAAATGAACCTTTTTTGTTTATTTTGGTTGAGAAACATGAAGTATGCTGGTAAGTGCATTTAAATATTCTTTCATTATTTTTGGAATTTAATTTGTATGTTGGATAAACTTTCTGTGGTTTTGTAGTTAAATTTAGGTTTGGGGCAGTATGTTCATTTGATGGTATGTTCATTTTAGGGTATTTTAATATTCGATTAAATTCTAACAGCTGTACTCTTATATCCACTGATGTAGCAAGACAGACCGAGAACCCCATTTAATGTTTCAGATGGTTGATCAGGTGAAGAGTAATCTATTTTAACAGTTCCTCTCAGGTATAATTTTCATTCACTGTATTTTCCTGTAGACAATGAGAAATCGAAAGGTTTTTTATATTGAATTAACATAATATCTTGTTTGAAAGGAAATTGACTTTGTAGAAATTATGCTCCTCCTGGAACACAATTGTACAAAATTGTACAAAATGCTTTTCTGCAGTAGCCTATCTGATTTATGACAGTAGGGTGTAAAAGGTGTGAAGGTCAGGACTCTAGTGAACAGTCAGGAAGAGAAGAATTGTATTTATTTTGAGAGAAAGTAATTGCTTTAAATTATGTTGCAGAACAGTAATTTAATTAGTGCAGGAAACTACCACTAAAACAAACGTAAATCCTAAGGGCTTCCACCAATTGACTGAGTTTTCCATGTAGGAATCTCCATAGTAGGTCAAACCTTAATCCGTGCTCTGTTTCCAGCAGAGAGATATCTGGGGAGACGTACAAGGACAGGTTGGGGTTTTGTTCCAGACTACCAGGGACCAAGTCTTCTGATTGTGTTTGGAGAATATACTTCTATTCCTGCCTGCATAGGAGTGTTCACCGTTCAAAGACTTTGTATCCTTTATCATCAGGTTTTAAAGGGCAGTGAGAGCTTCTCCATTTATGTGTGTTTTTTGTCCATAGAGTGATGCTGTTTAAGTGCTGTAGCAGAGAGCGTGCCACTGTTTAACCAGCTCCTTGGGCTTGCTGATCATTTCGTTCCAGTGTTCTAGTTCTTTGCCTCGACTGTACATGTATGGCCCAACTACAACACGCCCCAGCACATGTGATTCTGGGAGGGGAAAAAAAAAGCAGTAATTAACACTCATGAGTGCTTATGTGAAATATAAATTAGAATCTTAACCTTTATTTCTCTAAGAAATTCATGTTCTGAAAACTATGTTTAAATACATTTTTTTTGCCAAGGAATCTACACTCGATCTCCCTAGTTTTTACGTGCTAAGATACTTTTAGATGCCTAAAGTGGCTATTTAGACAGTTCAGACCTTGTTGCCTATGCTTTAAATTACAATGAGATTAAGGCACACAGTTCTGTCTGTCTGGATCCTCTACCCAAGTGTACTGTTCAAGTGTGCCCTAGTTTAAGGCATTGACAAGCTTAGCAGGGGTTGTATGATACTCTAGCTTGGGAAATCCAGCTATTGAGACACCAGGTGGGAATCAATACACAGGTTCCATTTCATGTTCTGCCACCAGCTATCTTTCTGCTCTGTGATTAAGCTGATTGTTTCTTCTCAACTATGTAGCCTAGGATGGGGAAGATAATTTCAGGATTATTGTAAGGCGTTTCGTCATCTGCAAGTAAAAAATGATGAAAGACTCAAACACTGATCCTAATCCTTGTCAATCCTCCAAACCACCTACCCGTAAACTCAACTCAGTTATTATTATTTTCTTTTTAGACCAGTATGAATCCAAAGAAGAGTATTACTGTTAAATTACTGAGATCGGATTGGCACTGCAGGGGCAAGCTTGCATTCTGAGCAGTGGAAATGCTGAATTCTGATTTGCTTCTCTAAGCAGAATTCCTTAATGGATTCTCTGATAATTATTAAAAGGTGACCTCAAGCATTAAATTTTCTGCTAGGCAAGGGAAATGTTTTTAATCTCTCTTGTATCCCACTGCCTGAACTGCTGTGATAATTAAAATTACTGCTCATCTTCCAAATATTGTAAATGGCTTCAAAATTTTGGAGATGGGGATTTATATGCATAAGCATTCACAAATGATAGTTGTATAAGCTTGTTTCCTTAGAATACCAGAATGAACCAAAAATACAACAGTTTGTGTTCTGATAGTGACTAGCCTACAGTTACCTTTTGCTGAATTTTTCTCTTCTGAAAGAGACATACACTTACTGCAAATAAGTTGTTCTACTTTTTAAATAGAGCAAATAACACTCCAAATCTTTTTGATATTTTATGATTAAAAGTTAATGATTATGAGTCCCTTCCAGGTTTAATCCTCTCTGCAATGTAATAAGAGATTTAACAACCGTAACATGTAGCTTACTTTGTTCAGTGTTCTGGAGCACAGATAGACTCAGGCTTGCTGCATCCAGCTCTGTCTTATTTGCCTTGAAACTGAAGGATTCATTGTACTCTGGATTGGGAGATCCCAGAACAGCTGCTGTCTTTTTACTTCTGACTAACTTATTATGGTTCATTAATGAGACCTTGACATAGACACCTTGTAGGGGGAGAAAGAAATAGATATCAGAGGCAGTTAGGGAGGCTTAAGGAATTTTTTGCTTTCAGGAGTGAATGCCAAGTATAAAACTCCATTATGAATGATTGAAATGTATATGGCAGTATGGTAACGTGTAACATTAAGCGGAGAGTACACAGAGGGTGCAGCTTCATCCTGCCCTTTCCA